TCTTTGGCTTCCTCCGTGCTAGTTCGACTATTGTTAATTATTGTCTTTTTTTCTTCTTTTTTTGTGTTCGGCCCAGGGTTTCTCTGTAGATCCATGTCTTATGATGATGCTTGTTGTGGCCGAGCACCTCGTGATATGATGAATTTAGTTCTTCTTTAGTCACTTTCCGGCTTTCCCCATATTAGTTTTATCAGGTTTCAGTAGATATTGCAAGACATAAGTCTGTTACTCAGAGCTATCCATTACGACCTTATTGTTTGGGTCTCCTATTTATATTGTCAATCTGTTTTCTGAGCATATTTTTACGATTCACTGAAATCTCTAATAAAACTGATCTTTATCGTCTCCACCGCAGTTATTAATGGTTGCTTAACACTGGATAACATTCGTGTAATCCTTTTCTGAATTGTTTTGAGGAACGGTTTGATCGCCCTGAATACGTCAGACCCTACCCTATGAATGCTTTCAGTACAACCCCTATAAGGAAAGCATTTTCTGCTTCAAAACCAGAGTCCAACGGCTCCTCTGCCTCATACCTCTCTCGGGCGAAAATGCCTACACTTCAAAGGCATATTTTCAGCGACTCATATTGTTTTTATCGTTTGAGTCCCTTATTAATGGTCGTTTTATTTGGAATAGGGTTGCAAATACAATGGTCAACCTTTATCCTCTATCAGGGTTCGAGACAGGCTCTAGTTGAAATGAATTCTGAACATAGCGCTCTAAAATGGATGAAAATAATGATAAATGCAACCAAAAATCCACAAGCAATTTGAGAGTTAACTCAACATAATACGATTGGGTAAATGAACTAGGTTAAATTACTCTGAAAGTTCGATCTCCAGAGTGCTCATCAAGTAGTGGCTATTTACTGCTTCATATAATCGTTCGAATATTGATATGATTAACACAAAACAAATGCCAGGAGGTCAAGACAACAGTCGAATAATTATTGTGAAATTGTATATTAAGGAAAGTCACTAAGAACAGGCTAATATTGAAGAAACGTGGAAAAATGATTGTATTCTTTGTGACATTTCAGATGGGCACGCATTTATTCAAAACAATCCTTCATCCTTAAGGACATCTAGAGTAGAGAACAATCTGAAGAACATACTAGTGTGTTTTGCCTAAGGCCAAAATTAGATGAACTTTTATTTCTCACTAAACCCTACATCTCGCGTGTTAGCGCCAGATAAAATTATTTATACTCTTATCCAACAAAATGCCGTTTGTCGCAGTTGCTAGAATTTTCACAGAACTTGAGATAGACCGTGCCAGTGCAGTCTATAATAGCTTAACGAATCAACCAACCCATCACACTTAACCGTGACTATAAGATGAAAAGCCCCTCAGACTGACATCCCACCGAGATGGTATGACTCTGTCATACAAGCATAGTCACTCTATGTAACATCTTTCTTCATAAATTTTATTCTGCCCCCAGCCTTAATGTGTTATGTAAAGGTTCGTAAAACCTATATATCTGACTATCACAATAGGACGAGTCTGTATAAACAGTGATATGACTACGACGTAAGATTCTGTGGTTAAGTAGTCACATCATGGCAAATCTACACTGCTAAATTAGTTTCAATATTCTAGTGACATAGATATATTCATTAATATTAGCCAAGACCTACGTTTGACGTCATTGTGGTCAACTCTAACGGATTCCAGAGATGCCTGTTGATCAGTAAATCCACTTCATGATTTTCAGGTTAAATGTTAAGATCTGCTCAAAACTCTACGATATACATTTTGGCGGAAAACAACATTTTTAGAGGTACTATTTTGCCAGCATACCAGACAGTTACAACTTATGAACCATGGATTAAACATCGATGCGTTATTGTAAAATAATATAATGTATGGGTTTCCAAACAATGTATCAACAGTTGAGAAGGTAAAACGATAGTTCAATGTTTATCGATGCAAACTGATGCATGTGAGAATATAAGTTACAAATATTCTTCCACGTTAATTAAGCAAGAGTTAGCAAAATAACGTCTAGTCACGGACTGAACTAAAAGTAATTATACAGCTTCTGATGACTCTGTACAACTGTAATAGATACAGTGGTCCATAAATTAATCTCCATTCACACTAGGTTCTAAGTTATAATGCTAGTGGACAGTTGGACCCTGAATTATGTAGACCCCCATAGATTCAGACCTAAATTATCCTCGAATTTTCAATTTCCATCATGATGATCCTATGCTCCCAGTATCTCCATTTCTTACTTACCCATAAACAACTTCAACAACTCTGGTCGCGTACCATCTAAGAGATATCGGATCCTACCTTCTAGTATGGTTTATAGGTATTTGTGGATCTACTCATTGGTGGTTTTCTATCCGTGATTATCAGCTCGCATGTTACTGAAGAGTCATGTAACAACAGTCTGGAGTATTATCACTACTTAACTGCCTTACTTATTCCTCAAGGACAGTAATGATTATATCAATTCTCAGTGAAGAAAATTTATTCTTCCGTTTTGTTGTCTATCTGTTTCATACAAGCCACAGTACCTAAGTAACAGAAAGCTGCCTCAATAATAAGAAACATGGCCAGTTCTTCCATCGATATCTATCTGCACAGTTATATATACAACTAAGCATTATCTAGTGAACGTAATACTGACTTCTGATGATGATGGATATTCATTTGCTTATAAACCATGGTTTAATGATTACCAGAGCATTTAGTGTTTTTTTGATATTTTTTCAAAAGATGCTTGGAAAATGCTAGGCGCAAGTGTTATTAGTGACACCTGACCACAAATTTTTTCCAGATAAGGCCAGCAAAAATTCTGTGAGGTTAGCATCATTGATAGTTCCAAGTGCAGCAGAAGGATCGGCTAACTCCGATAAGAGCAAAACAAGTGAAAAAAAATCATGGTTATAAGAGGGAATAAAGCCTCACATCTCAGACGTAGAGTTTAAGCATCCATATTGGATGATTCGGAATACAATATTCATTAAAACGTAGCCTGCATAAGTTAAGAGAAATGCCACTTAGCAGGTATCATGAAGCATAAGATTGCGCGCTCCATCGTCGGCCAGAATTCACCGCCATTTTATCGTTATCTCTTTGTTTGATTTGGTTTTACTTCAAGCGTTTAGAAATTTAGTCACTATCTATATCTCATAGTTCTGGTGACGACACAAATTATTTGGTTCCTTACGCCTGTTAACCCTCCTAGAGGAGCAAAAGCCGATCACCACCATTCTCCATTCATCTCTGTCTCGAGCAACTCTTCTCAGTTGTTTCCAGTTGTCATTCACTCTTTCGATGTTCGCTTCCAATCCTCGATGCACTGTGCTATTCGCCCTTCCTCTTTTTCATTTGCCGTCAGGGTTCTAAGTTAGTGCTTACCTCGCGATGTAGTTTGATGATTTTCGTCATGTATGTCCTGTCCACTTCCAAGGTCGTTTCCTAATTTACTCCAGCACGAATATTGTTTATCCTCTCCCACAAAAGGCTGATGGTATCCGACCAATGGAAATCGAGTATCTTGTGTAGACAATTGTTTAGAAATTCTTGTACGTTTTTGATGACGGTTGTGGTATTTGTCGAAGTTTCAGCTCCATACAGTTGAACTGTCTTGACGCTTGTATTGAAGATTTTGAATTTGATATTGGTTGACAGAGAGTTTTTTTAGTTCCAAATGTTCATCAACTGTAAGATTACTGTACTTACTTTGCCGATCCTCGCTTATACGTTTGCATCGGATCCTTTTCGTTCATAGATGGTGCTTCTCAGTTACGAGAAAGATTTCACATCTTCCAGAGTTTGTACATCAAGTGTGGTTGGGTCGGTGTTCTCTGTGTTGTATCTAAGGTTATTTCTTTTTCCCTTGTATATGTTGTGGCCTACTGATGCAGAGGCTTCTGCCACAATTATTGCGTTGACCCGCATTTGTCCGTGTGCATAGGAGATTGCACAGATACTTAGTAGATAAAGTTGTATTTGACTAAAAAATTGACAGTATAGAAATAAGTACGAATGAGATGAAAACATTTACGGATAGCCAGTTAGAAAGTCATATAATAAAGCTTCAAATATCTGTAACCTAACTTTCAAAAAACGACCACTGATAAAAATGTTGAAGTTTTGAGGCACTAATTTTTTCCAGTATTCTCTATGTGGGAAAAGATGAATCATTAAGTCAATATCTCGAAAGATAGACGTTTAAAAACCTGACGCATCCCCTGTGGACTTTTATGCTCCTCTCTGTATCAGACTTCGTGTTCTCCAGTTGACAAAAGTCCTTGAGAATTTGTTTTCTATGTGTTGATATGATAACTTATGTTCAAAATGAAGTTCGAAATTTTCCCGGTTATTTGTCTACTATGGTTTGGTCGGCTCCATATTGATTATTAATTATAATCCCGGAAATGATCGATATGACTATATACTTACTTACAAAGCTATATTAAAGCTTTTAGATATAAGGGGTTGGTAATGTGTTGGGCCAGAGTTTTGAACTTTAAAGGCTCTAGCTGTTCGCTAACCTGACTCAGAAATTTTAACCATGAATTAGCACTTTTTTATTTCTTCTCCTTAATTTCTACGTTTGACAGGCCGAAATTGTGATATTTGTATGCTGATGTCTTCGCCTTATTTTCATTTCATGTTGAAAATTAGTTGCTCCTTGCATTTAGATATTAATCTAACATTAAAGTCTACAAAAAGCATGTGTAGCTTTCGTATTTAAGCACAATGAGACAATAGTGTTGACAGAAATTATATTTTAGTATTACCAAGTTACCAAGAAAACTCATCAATAACCACCAAGCTATTATTTTCATGTCCATATGAGAGTTTTTATAATTGTACACTGTACATTATCAATGAATGTATGGGGTCTTAAATGGTATTTTAGCTTTCACATATATATTTTAATGTTATTTGTGTTCCGAAAGATACTCAATGATCATCAGAAGTTTGTATGACTTGTTCGTTAAAACAAGTCATATTTTGTGACGCTGGCAACCGTTGACATAACGCTTTGCCGCCATAGTGAGCGCCATAGTCACCGTAGCTGTTGGCGACTGTTTCCTGTCAACTGAGGTGGGATTTTCATTTTATGATTTAAATAGTAGTTTGCGGCCCTAATGGTGTAATCCTAGTAATAAAAGTCCAAGCAACATGTAATAAGTCAGATAGATGTTATTTTATATTTCGAGCTATTGTAGTCATATAATCAGTCTAGTCCTTCCAATATTTTTGTGGCTGTTGACCAGGACGGTGAATGACGAATCTCATTATTGTAGCCTGGTTTCAAAGTATACCCGATTTATAGAAAGCTCCTAAAGTTCCATAGAATTCTCTGTACCTAGTTAAACATCACAAATAGCTTTTTCTGCAATAATCCGTGTTGCACTCCTCGACCTGAAATTCGTCCTCAAACAACACTTCAAGTACTTTAGTTACAATAATACAATAATAAAGGACGATTTATGTGCTTTGTCTCATTATCTTACTCGAAGCTTACCTAGGAATTCACCGTTTATCATATCTTGATGAAAATCAATCCGCTTGCAAGTCGACTTGGGTATTGTTGTTGTTATGGTGGTTGATATACCACTATCCCTGGGTATTTATCCATCAATAGATAGTATAAATGGTTATCCATACTACAATCATGTGCAGATTCAGTGATCTAGAGTTTTGTAAAAGTATATTTTGTCAGTTGACAAACCGGAATATTAATATTCCGATTTCTTTATCAACCATACAAATTAGTGAGTGTTGCTTAAGTACTTTGCTTCTGTTAGCTCTCAGTCTAGGGAACCTGCAGTTTCCTGTAAAGCTCGTATTCAGATAATTAATCGTTTCTAAGACACTAATACTGTTCTACTCCAGTTCGTGACGCATTCTCCGTGTTTATTTGTTCAAAGAACCTCCCCATCTCTTTTTTCCAGTTAATGTTAGTCGAATAAGTCTACTTGTCGTCTACTCATTACCTTTACCATTTTAAGCCAATTAAGTTTTGAGTTTAGAGTCTTTATTGTAATAATATACTTCATTTGTATAACTTTCGCTAATAGCTATGGAAATAATGGCTTTAATCGATGGTCTAACATTACCTTCAAGTCAAAGAGCATAGCTACAGATGAGTGTCAAAATCTAGATATAACATTGTTCAAATGACACATTCACATTATGCTCCGAAATAGGCCTAGTTTTATGGGTTAATTGTTATCGAGCTCTACTAAAGCGTATGATTGTACTTCAGAAAAAGTGGAAGTCTTTGACTATCCTTAACCGTATATAGTTTTTAGTATGTTTTATTCACATCCATCGTATGGAGTTATCTAGTTTGATGTTCGTTTTATACATTTCCCGAATCGTCACTTGATAAAAATAAACTGTCTACAATGTGCATTTGCTGTAAATAGTTTACACTATGTTGTCGGGTGGAATCCTAGAAGACCTAGTTGTTTATCTTTTTGCGTAAATACATCTTGGTTGTTAGTTACTCATTACGGTAACTATGAGTAGGCCTCGGTCATCCATTTAGTGCTGGTAACTTCTAAGTTCAAAGACGAATAACCATCAGATCCTTGGTTGTCTTATGACTTTCTGCACGGAATTACATTTGTAAGGATATCAACATAATATCATAGTTTACACATTGTGCGACTTCGTGAATTAACCAACAATTCGGAACGTAGTTAAATAAAATTTCTTGTATTCTAACTAATTTCTAACCATTACATATCAAATTGATACTTTATTTCATGAAAACTGAATGATGATGTGAGAATCATCATGTTTCTGTTGGCTATGTTGTGGGCGTTGCTATAGTTAAGTAGTTATAAACAATCGACTCATCAGTTTAAGCGCACCTCACCGAAATGTTTGACATGTGATACACCTAAATGTGTGCACTAGAAGCAGGTCAAGTAAAAGTTTACAGAAATCATAAAAATTTATAACAGTCTCCATCATGTCCACTAGTTATTAATGACTTTAAGTATATTTTCATGAATAGTAATACATGGATCAAACCTAAACTGACCCATGTTTACAAAAGAGACTGTCTTTTCAATATAGTATGATTAGATTACTTTAAAACTTCTTTTATGGTTTTTTTCACATGGTAGCTTCCATACTCTGTAATTTATTTCCGTCGTAATCTACTTCAGCATAACTATTAAGTATCCTTTTATTTTGGCGTAATAGAATTGCCCAGATTCATTTTCTGTCCACATAACTTCATCTAATTCCGATCTACTTTTTACTAGTATATCCTCTTGGGGGAGATCGCTCGATTTAATTTATTTTCATGTTTTAGGTGCACAAAATTTCATATTTTCACTTACAATCAAGACCATGCAATCAGCGTCTGGTCCAGGTACCACCATTGTTCATTTATCTCCGAAAAATCATACAATTTTACAACAAAGTGGTCAACATGTCCTACTTAGTAAAATTGGTAAGGTGAAATATACTGACAATTAATATTTCATTTTAACGATAGCTTCCGACTCTACTAGTAATCGTCCACCAACAAGTGGAGTGGAAACTAGTTTGTTACAAACAGCACATTCAAATAACTCACAAACTATATATCCAGCACATTATATTGAAGCTATCGCTGAACAAACTGTTTATACTGCAAATGGAGAAGGCGGGTAAGTATGTTCTTTGATTGTATTTGTATGTTTATTAAACGGTCAATGCACTTTGTACTATGTAAACAGTTACAGTGTCAAAGGCTTTCATTTCATTACGGAAAATACCCTGAAAATATTAACAAATGGATTATCAATTTTCAGTCTGTATTTCCATTCCTCAGAAGGTTTTGTAGTGTTCAGTAAATATAATCTGATGGGGATTTATTTTAGCTATCAGTAATATTAACCTCGTTTGTGAAAATCGTTCCATCTGTTGTTGTAATTGGCTTTCTCGACTGACTTCAGCCAATGAAGTATTATAAACGAAGAATGGAACTTAGGATCTCCAGGTCTTGTGATGATTCTATCACCTTTAGACCCACCAAGTTGGAGTCCAGCTGTTAACATATCCGACTTTCATGGTTTCACAATAAATTGTACTATTTATGAAAATTTTCTTAATTCTGATATGAACGAGCACCGGTTGTGACTTCTTTCCACCACATCTGAAGTCCGTTTCAAAGTTAGTTACTAGCGACCACGCTATTGGTATTTGGTTTAGTAGATTGTGGAGATATTTCCAAAGTTTTATATCAGATGGAATATGAATTAACTTTTATGTGAACGGGTATATATATACTAAATACCTCATTTTTACACTGATCACAACAATGAAAATCCTCTCCAGTTTTATGTATTTTAATTTACATCACAGTTTTCTATGCTTCTACTGCTCTTCTTTCATTCTCTTTGGGTTCTTATCAAATTTCTTGATTTTCAGTGGGATTCTCGAAATTAAGTCTGGTACGCCATTAAGAAAACTATTTGCATCAGTCACGAAATCTTTGTCTGGGTAATTTATGCTTGGTCCATCTCTCTAGAGTTTCGTTTGTTGTTATAAAATAATTGAGTGGTTGATTTGGACATTTGAATGAGGAAGTTATACTGCTATCGCTAACCCCTTCTCTTTCCGCCAAATCATCATTATTTATTCGTTTTAAATTAATCTAATTTTACCCTCCTAACCTCCCCCGTGTGTGTGTGTGCTTTTTTGGTACTCCTAACCCCTGTTTTGAAGTGCAATGTATTTTATAATGTATGTTTGAATATTATGGAATGACATTTAAGTGCATGTTTTTTGATAATTAGTTTGTTAATTGGAATGGTTTATTAACAAAATGACAGTAGTTTTGTTTGAGGTATAATTGGTAATGAATTGATATTAACATGTATTATTTTATAGGCATGTTGGTCGGTGGTATATATCGACTTGCATGAATTTTACTGATCCGATTGGGTACTGTCAAGTCTTTATTATATTGCCTTTATTTTTAAATTTGTTGGCTGTTTAATTAGTTTGCTTTCAAGCTGTTCAGTTATAGTTATGCATGATCTGTCTAATATACATATATATTTACAGAAATTGGTCTACTAATAGTCTTTAGTGAAACATAAGAAGTACTATCAGAAGGGGTTTTGTGGAGATTTTAGAAATTTCACAGATTGAAATCATGAGTCAATTGAAGCTAAACGACCATGGAAAACCTGGAAGCACTGGACGATCTTTTCGCCCTAGTATGGGACTCCTCAGCAGTGCACATCAACGATCCCGCAACCCACGAGATTCGTACTCAGGACCTATCAGTCTTGCGCCAGGCGCTTAACCAACTAGACTACTGAGCCGGCTGGCACCCAACGGTGTTAATGTCTAAATTCAACCAATCCACGAAGTTGCACCACCGTATACCATTGTCTTCAGTGAGCTGATATCTCACAACAGACCTGGTTGAAGTACTCTTAGAAAATGTATCAAATATTATAGATCATTTATTGAAAAAAGAAAAACAGCTGTTTACAAAGACTGGATCAGGTAATTGTGAACGAAAACTACAAAACACTTCAATTTTAACTGAAGCCCAGAAATAATTTATTGGTGCATGAAATTCTATAAAACATAAAATGATAAAATAACTGGAGAGTTTAACTTTTATGAACATCCAGGAGTATATGTATGTAATCAGTTGTCAGTATATTTTCATAAAATGAAGGAAATGTCAAACGAACCAATGTTATGGACTTTAAATTGGACCAAATCATAATAAATTGTTTGAACAACCGCCTCAGTTCATCTATTCCATTGAACAAACTGTACAACAGTAATATGATTTTGTTTGAGTTTATCTTATTGGTTTTCGTTTGTTTTTCTCATCTTTATTAAATATCTAAATAATATTTTACATTGTATTATTACTAACAACGTATTTGTTGAATATTTTTTCTTCACTTATTTTCTTTGTTAGACAATATCAAGAATATACACCGATTATTTATGCTCCTGTTTCAGGCGGACCAACATATTATCAAACAGCTAATGGACAAGTTAGTATTTTCTTTATTATTGTGACTGTATTGATGAATAGTCATCAAAAGTGATTTTTATTTTGATCTAATGTGATGGATTAGTCGGTCAGTAGTGACACATTGATTTATGACTCTCGGAGATATTCTCAAATCTTGTAGTGATAATTATTTTTAGTGTGTTCAACTTGAGTTTTTATACTGTTGTACAATTCTTATCTAATGTTATTAATGATATGTCTCTCTGTCAACTTGGTTGGATTTCATTGATCACAATTTCTCATTAATGTATTCAGAAATCTATCTTGAAGTTACCCATGGATAAGCAAATGATTATTAATATTTTTATTATTTCAGTTGACATCGCTCAAACAATTTCGAGGTTAAATTCTACATAAAAAAGTGCTGAATCAGTCAATAAGATTCTAAATTACTATCCACTGAGATGACTGGGATATGTGTTATATATTCCCAACCACCGCCTACGTATCTAAACGTTCAGTATTGTCAGGGGTAGGAGTGATTGGTGCGTTGAATGAGAGTTAAAGGCGGTTATATAAACACATGATTTCAGTCCATTGACCGCTTGTCAGTGTGAATAGGCTTAGACTAACTAGTTGAGATTCACGTGATATTTGTATTTTTGATTTACGTAAACATGTGAACGTCGGTACAAAGGGGCCCGATTTCGTAAGCAAAACCTCTATAGTAAGAACGATATGAGTAGAAGAGAGTGAGATTTAAATTTATCCACTCTTGGTTGTGCTTGGAAATATCGGGGCATTTGACTATCATTAGTTATTGGTGATCTTGAGCAGTTACATGGTTAATAATCAGTCACAGTGGTATAAATGCATTCTGTATCATCTTCCCATGCATTCCAGTTTCCACTATCCTCTTTCCCTCCAATCGTAAGACATTATGCAGTTTTTGGGGATGTACAGTTTTATCCATTGTTCCCTTGTTGAACTGTATACTTGTTCCTTTCTGTTCCAAAATATGATTAGTGCGTCATAGTTTAATACGAAATTCTACATCATATTTATGTATTGTATCTGTCTAATGTATTTTCGAATTTTTTAGGTTTTAGCTACTGCTTTTGGTGCAGCGAATAGTGCAACAGGTCATGTTGGTGCTTTACATACTGCTGCGGCGGCACATGCAAATTTAGCTGCCACAACTGGTGTTGGTCACGCTCAATTAGTTACACATCAAGGTGCAACATATTTAGTACAAAGTGGTCAATTAGATGATGACGGATCGTCCATATCGCATACAGCAAAAGCTAGTCCTGTCACTGTAAGTAGATATTGAGTAGTTGGTAGTGATTTCATTATTTATGTGTCTATATTTAAACACATAAATGTTGGTACTAGTCCTAAGCGATAAGAAAATGAGTTTTTAAGAGGTGGAGAAAAAGTGCGTATAATTGAGTCAAAAGAAACAACAATTGATAAAAAAAGTGAATAGGTGAAAAAATCAATGAAATAAGCAGTTCATTTAGGAAAAAAATATAACCAGAAAGGTTTCTCCTAGTTAAAGTTGCATGTTTTACGAATTTTGTTTCAGAAGCTTCTACACTGTGTATTCTTTACCAATATTGGAACAATGTAATTCGAGAAGTAAGAATAAGAGGTATAAAATAATTTTGAAACTCAAAACTTAAAGGGTTAACAAAGAATGAATACAGCTGTGGCACTGCGACTGACTTTGAACCATCTCCCCCAATGTCTGCAACCTCTGACCATAATTACCACTAGGATCCAAACCACATCTGCCTCAGAGTACCATTCGATAAATTCATGGACTAATCATATGTGCTAGTTTAACCACCCTTTACTATCTTCTCACCTAACCCCCCTACTCAGCCAAACCAAATATCAGAGTAGGCGGTAGTAGGTTATATATAATGCATCTATTAAATACCAATCTAGTTCATTGATATACATGTTGATAATACAATCAATTCCATCTCTTGTTTCTTTACAATATTTTGTGTGACACCTTATTGTTATTACTTTGCTGTACCATAATGTCTTTTGTCTGTTTTATACACACAAAAATAAACTCTTACTCGATAAATCTTAGATCTGGTACATTTTACCTAATTTCCAGTTAGTTAATCAATGAAAAAAAAGATCTTAAATGGTGTTCAAAATGTCGGTAGCTGATTGTCGTTTCCCAGCTGTATACACACTATTCTTAAGGGATCTGAAAATGAGACTAGGTTACTAGTAGTAGTAGTGGTCTTACTGATCTAGGAGAATGATAACATAGCTCAGACGACAACAGGTGCTGAAACCCAGCTACATACAACTTTTTCGTCAATAGTTCTTAATGTGTTAGCTTCGTATATTAATTATACATTACAGCTGGCAACTGAAATCCATATGATGTACTATTTATAAAACTTACAATCTAATGGTATATTTATGTTGCATTTGTTCCTTGACCTATATTAAACTTGTGTTTTTTTTCAACATTATTCACTAATAAAGGAAATTGTTTCTTATCATATTTTAGGTTCAATGGCTTATTGATAATTACGAGACAGCTGATGGTGTTAGTCTTCCACGTAGCACATTATATTTTCATTATTTACAACATTGTAATGAACATAAATTAGAGCCAATGAATCCAGCATCATTTGGTAAATTAATACGTTCAGTATTTTTTGGCCTACGTACACGACGACTAGGTACACGTGGAAATTCTAAATATCATTATTATGGTATTCGTATTAAACCAAGCTCACCTTTAAATCATTTTATCGAAGATGCTGGTTTCTCACTTCGACATTATCCTAATTATCATCGTCAAACAATGGAAGCTGCAGCTGAATGGAAAAATTTCACAAATTCTTCATTAAATCGATTGAAATCTTTAAGTACAAATGGGAATGGAGTTCATAGTGGAGGTGTTGGAGTTGGAAACACTTCTGTTGGATTAAATAATTTAACACCTCATGTTCATTCAACATCACATATCTCATGCAGTAATGCCAGTAGTAATATTAGTAGTAGTAATTCTCAGTTATCATCTCATTACGGTACCAGTACAACAGTGACAACATTCCGTTCTTCAGATAAATCAATGTTAAATAATAATCTTTATGTTGGTAGTGGAAATGTTTCTTCACATTCCACTAGTCAAAATGTTGATAGTGTTACTACAAATTCAGTAACAAGTCCTTTATTATCTTCTAGTGGTGTTGGTAATGGTCAACATCATGCACATTTTCTTGGTGAAGCTAGTTCCGCATTGCCTAATCTAGATGAAATATGCCGATCATCTGGTCTTCCTGTGCCTAGTGAAGGTAAGAAACACAATCTTGTTTATCTATATATATATATAAATTCATAGTTGATTCATTTCATTAAAAGAACTAACTTATATTTAGTAGACTCGATGAAGGTTCATACGACATTTCTGCATCAGGATCCTGGATCCCATGTACAACATTAGTTTGGAATTGTGGTTTTCCAACCCCTAAGTGGATCCTCCACATCCACCAACCCGGTTAAAGCGTTCGACATTCACTTTTTGTCCTCTCAATTTCATAAACACTCCTGCCGCGTGAAGGCAGTGAGTTGGACTTCCCTAATAGTGGCCATGTGAGGGCATTTTGAGAGGAAGAGTAGATTTTCCCCACCTTAGACCTTATTAGGGCATTTGCAAGAACGATGATCTCAATGTTCTATCAAATCAATTTTTCCGTCATAACACTAGTTTAGAATTGATTTGAATATGCGTTTAGTCATTCCTGACCGCTGACAATACCGTGAATTAATCGAGATACACTCATACCTTTTTGAAATTTATAACGTGCCCCCTAAATAGTCTTATTTAACGAAATTTTACTGTCTTATCAATCGATCCACCTTCCGTACGTTTTATTATTCTACTCAAAACCTAGTCATTTAGTCACCCAATGGGTTCCACTATACGTAGTCAGTAATTTGTAGATACGTGTATTAAAAGGAATTTATAGCATTCTCATCACACCCTCCCAAAGCATATTCCACAATAGTTCTGTGGACACTGCCGGCGTTACAACCAGTTAGTCGCAACGTAAAACCCGGTACGTATGCACATCAAGTTACTGTACCTTGTTAGCACAGCGAGATGAAATCCCCTAGGCAAACTCCAGAGCAGTAGAGGTAGTAATAATTGTTATAGAAGAGATTAGAGATCAGAAAAATTATGCGGAATCTCGAAGCTTAGAATTGGGTTGAAGATAAAAAATTGATGCAACTGCGCCATTGCAAACAATTTCGAGTGATTTCATTGAGTCTCTAATCACTCGTTAAGATGATCATGTGGACCCCAACCAGGTAGTCTACACATATTAACATTACTCAGTCCAGTTTCTAGTGGCTTCATGGACAGATGCTACGTTTTGAATTATCTGCCCCTAGCTTACTCTTACAACGTACAGCATCGCCCATCTAAATAGGTGGTGGTTGAACGTACGTAACACGTATCCTAAGGATCTCATTTGATAGGATTTACTGCTTAACTAGTCGATTTGTTATCCCTACCCAGTACCCTATGCTTAACCTCGGAGTTGCCAACTCAGTGGTCTCGAAATGCTCGACCAAGATATCTATAATCAAATACTAGTAATCTACAATTATGTTGATGGCCGTTTCACACCCATAAAGTAGAACGGAGTGAAATTCTGGGCAGTAAATTCGTCCTTCTGTTGGCAGATCTATATTTCGCTTACATTACAAGTAACGCAAGTTGGCAGAGTTCAATCGAGCTTTCATGATCCGAGATGAGATTTCGTCAGACACCAGCCCATCAGGACTGATGAGACTCCCAATTTAAGTGAAGCACTTGGCACCCTCAACTACTTCACTTCCTACCATTAATTCAGATGCTGACACAAGCTAATCCTGAAGTAACATTTTGTATTTGGCGCGAGAGAATCGCACTTTAAACATGCTTGCATTCCTGCTTAAATCGTTTATGAGACTGGAGTTTTAAACATCTTTATCCAACAGAACTATTTCATCTGCGTATTCCAAGTCAACAAATAAGTCTCCTGATAAGAGATCAACCCTTGAAAAATCTGACAATGAATGTCGAAAATATATAACAAAAACCGAAACGTGTTTGTGTATCCCCTACTTAAATTTATTCAATCATCATCTACTAAGGTGTGATTTAAATCAAAATATTGATAAAGTGATCACCACGTGATCAACTACCTTATTTTCTTTGATCAGATTAGGCATTGATGTAGATCTATTCCATAGTAGTTTTTCATTTGAGAAAAAAAACATAGGAGCACAGATCTTGGATATTCTTTTGTTATTACTTGAGGTATTCGGAAGGCACTGGATTTCATCACCATACTTTAAATCTTTCTCTCCCTATATGTGTATCTAAAAGTTTCTATATAGAAGATCAATTTTTGGAAAGTTTGACATAAATTATTCACCTCTAGAACCACGTATTGAGGATAATTTTTGAATATAAAAATCAAAGGGAAGTTATTATCAGAATTGATTTTGTGGAGATTTTTAGAAATTTCACTCGTTGAAATCCTGCCGGGGGGATCGTAAATGCGCACTGCTAAGGAGTCCCATACTAAGACGAAACGGCTGTCCAGTGCTTTCAGGTTGTCCATGGTGGTCTAGCTTCAATTGACTCATGATTTCAACCAATGAAAAGAGAAATTAATTGACAGTTTACCTTTATCTTTAATTCATCATTGTTAGTTGAAAATGTTCAATGACAAGTACACTACTATATAGAATGAATATTCTTCCAAATTATGTTTCTTATGTTTTTATTTTTATTCTTATAATCTATCAGTTGATTTGCCAGAGAATAAAAGTCGTTTAAAAACAGTTGAAACATCGAATAATTTATCAATAAATGAAGATGTAATTACATTTTGTCGTCTTTACGCTTTATCCGCTGGTTATATGCTTGATGCTGTAGTAAATTTAGATTTTACTTCAATTGAAACAGTATGGAAAGCATTTTGGTGCACTGAAGAAATACGAGTAAGTATTAAAAATACTATCGATTTTTTTCGACTATTCAATTATATTTATATATAGTCATGTATTCACAATATTCTCAATCATCAATAGGGTAGTATCATTGGGAAGCAAATTTCTCAGAGACTGTGGTACATTTGAATTTCAATCACTGGCAGGTTATGTTCAAACCCCAGCTCAGATGCTTTAGACTAAGCAACTCTCACAAAAAAAAGTATACGTTAAAGTCAAGTCTATGAGTATATAAACCTTCATTGACTGAGGAATGCATCAAAATTAACTCAACCTTCGAATTCTCCGACGAGAAATACTGCGTTGCAAAGAGCCAGAATGGTAATATCATGTCAACGACTTCTGATGTAAAATTCTTGGTTGGGCCTCATGCGTTTCCTGTAATCAGTGATTGATGACTGACTGAATTGCATTATCTCAAATCTTTCACTACTGCTTGGTTGGGACCAAGTAGGTTTACTTCGCTTTTCTGTACACGTGATAGCGATGGCTTCTAAAAATCAGAGTAAAGGCTGGATGCATTGTTATGAACACCTTAGAGATATTTCGTATTCATTATCTGTTAGATCCTTGATATTTGTATATGTAAAGATCTGACGTCACTTACACTTGATTGATTATTGAACAGTTAACTATGTTATACATGTATGAGATGTAAGGTGATGATGATTGGAGGTAGGCGACAGGAAATTTAACCTAGATTTCGTGCCATTAGGTACTTATCACCAAGGTTTATCTGTAACGTCTTTTACTGAGGCTGAGTGACATGGGATCGAACCCTCCAGGAAGTTCCCTTAGGATTATAAGTACAACTTTCTTGCCATTCCCAACTAGCACGAAACCTAAGTCGTACAGGGTTTCCTGTCGATTACTTGCAACCACCGCCATACATGACTTCCTTTCAGGCGCTCATTCCCCTCTACAAGTAAGATTGACCAACACAGTTTCTTCGTCTGAGGATTTTACTCTTTACAATCTTCGGAATACTCTTTCATTTAGTCCACGGAATTATTATTTAAATAATTTCAAAGTCTAATATTTATGTTAGTTTTGTTTATTGTGTTTATTTTTTGTTATTGGTAGGATTCTCGGTTAAAACAAAGTTTATCACAAGAACGATTATATTCACTCGTGTCCGATCCGGTCATTTTACAATTCATTCGACTTTATGATCATACATTCTATCAATCATTAGCTGAAGTTTTAATACCAAATGTACTTCGACCTATTCCGCCAACTCTTACACAAGCAATTCGTAATTTTGCAAAATCTCTTGAAGTGAGCCAATTTTTTTTTAGAAGAAAGACTATTATTACTTCAGTGTTCCCTCTCTCTTCTTTTGGCGTCTAATATTCCTTTACAAATTGACATCGGCTTGTGATTAAAAATCCACCTAATGTGTCTACTAGATAACTATTGAAAACTAGGAAACGTTAACGGTTGTTTTGCCTTAGTATGAAACTCTTCATAATTGCCGACGCAAAATCCTACTAGAGATTCGAACTAATCACTTTCTGGCTTCTTGGCGAGTATATGTTAGACCACTCACTGAGTTGGGATTCAGTGATGTTAGTTAAAGTCATTGCGTAATGTAATCTACAATTTTATTTAGGATATGCTCTGCGGAAGAACACTTAATGCAAATGTTTATCAAAAGTAATGTAATTAAACAGTAGTCCAAGAAAAGTTCCTTTTTAAAGGAAAAGATCGTCTACATTGGCTAGGGTTCCAAGAGCAACTCATTACTCTCGATAACTTACATCCTGAAGCTCCTTCCTTTTTTAAGTGAATGAAGAAAGACACTTTTGATCTTGTTATTCGAATAACCCCGCCAGATACCTCCGAAAAAAACTAAGGCTAGACACACGATGTTTTTGTATTATCTCCATAGTTTTCAAACCTTGTCATCTAGACTAGGAATCTGTTAAGTATTAATAAGTTTGTTTTTCAGGACAGATATGTTTTATCTTCTGTTTGTGTAAAAAAACACCATCGTTGAAAATGTTAATCCTACCACACTCTTCATTATAGTCAACAGCGATACATCATTATTCCTATTAGTTGTTTAATTTACTACTTTCTGACGGACTTACCTACATCTTTTACTAATAGGGGAACCTCAAACAACATGTGTTCAATTCATTCACATATGTACCATTTTCTACATTGCATATGATTTACTAAATTATCTGGTACATTCAGATACTGCGATTTGTATGTTGCTAAGTTATGGACTTTTTATTGATTGTTAATAATAATCACCTACTCCATGGGGGTTAATTTCAAGTGATAATTCCCAAATTTCTAGTGAGAATCAACGCAATTAGTGGAGACAGTTATCTGTTAATAGTTTGTTTCAGAGAACAACTGAGCTATATCACGAATAGACTGAAGTTAGGAATATAAACTTTAATGAGTGAGACTCAGGTAGGGACGATCAATTGTATTTTAATACAAAATCACAGAGTTTATTAGTAAAATATAAGAAACATACACTAAATACTTCATTTTTAAATTTCCATCATTTATCCTTCACATTCTGTATGATTCTTCCAGTCCACATTTCCTTTCTATTTTCTCGATTTTCTTAGCCTCCTGCTGCCAGGTTTTCCACTTCAGATTGGTGTTACGTACTACTTATATTGAAAGATATAAGTAGCATACACCACTGAACCTTTGAATACTGACTCAGTGATCTAAAGGTTAAACGTTAATTATAAGACTTGGAGATTCTGGGTTCAATTCCTGGTGACTTTGTAGATGCTCACTTATAAAGATCCCCATGCTATGACGAAACAGCTGCCCAATGCTTTTTGGTTTTTAGTATTTGTTTAACTAAATTGAATCTATGATGCAAACGATACGATTCATTAATCTTCACAAATTTTATACACTAATACAATTTGTTCTCTCCTATATTTTATTACAAGGGTTGGATGCGTCAAGCTATACAAAGTTTCAATACAGATCTTATTAATTTAAAAATATCCGCTGTATGTGCATTAGCACAAACTCTTCGACGTTACACTAGTTTAAATCACTTAGCTCAAGCTGCCCGTGCTGTGCTAAAAAATGCCAATCAAATTAATCAAATGTTGGCCGATTTAAATCGCGTAGATTTCAATAATGTACAAGTGAGTATTTCATTTGTTGTTGTAGTATGTGATATCATAGTGAAAAATGTGTTTCATTAATCATCAATTTATGTGTCTTCATTATTTAATTCATAAAATTTATAGTAGTAATAATCGTTCTTGTGTAAGGGATATTCAGTTGAATTCACTAATCCATCTAAGCTAGACTACCATTGAAATCCTGGAAGCATCGAATGTCTGTTACATCCTAATATGGGACTCAGCATTGCGCATCCACGATCATGCACGCGGGAATCCAGCCCAGGGTATTCTGTCTCGCGCGCGAACTCTTAACTTTCAGACTACTTAGCCAGCTTCCAACGCTGTTAATGTCACCTCAAACTACCATCCATCAGAATATTATTGAAAAAAAGGAAAACTAGAGGACACTTTTTTGTCATTCTAGTTTCGAAGATTCATTAGAAGTAAACAAATTTATTACAGTTTAAAATATGAAATCATTTTGGTTTCGATGCACTGCTAAGGATTCTCAAGCTATGGCACAAAACATCCAGTATTTCATACTTTTCAATATTATCTGTAATTTAATGTTCATCTTCGACAATTACAACGTACATAGGTTTCTGTCAATGGTCTTCAATCATGCAGCATGATTGAAATTTTGGTGAAGATTTACAGTTACAGTGGTTGCTTTCAGTGTTATCAAGTTCTCTGAGATTATGTGATTGATAGATGGAGCTTTCATTTCTGTCCTGTATAACAACATTATCAGCTTCCTATTTATTTCACAAGCGTTATATTAGTTCTTTCTGTTGGCTTTGTTTGTGATGGGTTAACAGAATGATTAGTTATAGGAAACAATGGGCATAGAAAACTGTATGAATTCGTGGAACAAAAGATATAAGATAACTCTAAGACTTAAGATTGTCCTTTGTTTGCCTACGTCACAAATGATGTAAGTTGTAAAAAGCCAACCTTGTTTTTTTTAATTCGTGTTGAAATTTTATATAACAATTTGCTCCGTTCTACTTTATATGTGCTAAATCTGGCCATTAAGATTAAATGATATCCGTAAATTTCTTGTATTCGATCATAGATGCCTTCGAAGTATTGCTCGTACATTTTTGAAACACTGATTGAGCAACTCTCGCGTTAGACAGTACTAGGTAGGGTGTTCATTTGAACGCTTTATTCGGTTCCTAAGTTATTCTGGTAACCCGCAAGCTAAAACTACGCAACGACCTGAACTCGAGAGAAAAGGCGCAAAATAAGCGAACAACACTTTACTCCAAAAGTTCATTTTTGTACAGAAAAACATGGGTATTTATAGATGCTACATTCGTTAAATCAACATCATATTTTGGCCAATCCGCTAAAAGACATATTATGCTACTGACCAATAGTAGCACGCCACGTTGATATTCTAGAAACTCCATCATGGTCTGATTGGCTAGGACTCTTCGGTTCCTTTAGGGCCTCTGGAGGCTCCGTTGCAGTTCTCGGAAAGCTGACTTAACATAGGGATAGCAAATCGATTGATAAAATAATGGGTCATTATCAACTGAGATATTTGTGATATGTATTACGTTTGGACATTAACCGACTACTTTGATACCTAATAATGGCCGATTCAGGAGTAGGCTGGAAGAAGTTGGAAATAGTCAAACGATGGTATGACATCAGTCCATGAAAATACTAATTGTTGAACTGAGTCTTGTAGGTAGGTCCAGACCACCAGGTTGAGGTCGGCGTGATTATCGTAACCAATGTTTTGGGTGACATGGCTTGAAATTGTTCACAATCGCTTAGATAAATTCAACCCTTGTCTTCTTCCAGAACCTGATCTCGAAATATCACACCCTATATTTTCTTTTTCTCCACTACTACTACTCTGGAGTTTTTCTTGTGGTAGTTTTTATCTCTCTGTATTAATTTGGTATGGCAACTTGAACTGACACACATATTTGTCAGGTTCTACATTGTGTACGACTGACTGAGTTGAATACATATACGTAATTGTCTTTATGTATCTGTATTATCATATCAATGACATATCATGCGAAATAACTAAAAACTATTACTTCCATATGAGATAAGCGCTAATGATAAAGTTTATTTTGTTGTAAACTACAACTCCATCAAAGTACAACATATTTTACCGGAAATGTTATCTTCACTTTTTCTCCATAACATCTCTTCTACCAAGTGTTATTTACTATTCTTTCTTCCTCTCTCGATCTACAGGAACAAGCTTCATGGGTATGTCAATGCAGTGATTCTACTGTTAGTCAGTTAGAGCATGATTTTAAACGTATTTTACAAAAGCACGCATCACTGGAAGAATGGGCTCAATGGTTAGATACAGTAGTGACTAGCATCTTACAACCACTTGAAGGCAATAGTTTGGCTTATACAAAAGCTGCACATCAACTAGTGTTGAAATGGTCTTTTTACAGGTAAGTTCTTAATAATTGAATTGAGAAATCCAAAAATCTTCATAGTTTAAATTACAAAGTAATCTTCTTGGTAAGCGACCATTGGAAACCTGAAATTACTGAACAACTGTTTGATACCTAATATAGAACTCTTTAAAAGTGCTCATACACAATCCTAACTACAAGGAATTGAACCTAAGTCGTTCGGTCTCACCCATAAATGCTTGACCTCTAAACCACTGAAACGGCATCCAATAAAGGCAACCCTCATTCATAGCCTTCAATGGATAATCAGTCTTTTCTTGCATGTCAAAGCTGAACTGCGTTGGTTACGACCTCACCAGGACTCCAGAAGTTCCATCTTGAAGCTAGTTCGTGATTTAAACTATGAAAATCCTCCTATACTAGTAAAAATCTGAAAACATTGATTATGCAACTCAAATGTTTTGCATAATCTATGAATCGTATTTAGATTGATTGATTCATCAATGAAATGATTATTTTGCATAAAATCCTTGTATTTAACCCCGCTCTCTTAGAAATTGGATGATAAATAACCAGAAAACCTGAGCTATGCTAGTTTTCGCCTTAATAGTAGTAGAACCTCGTATCCAAACTATTCTTAAATCACTAACATCCTGATTTTCATATGCCTCAAATTAGCCAATAAATAAAAGGTGGACAAAGTACACACTTTACTTGACAACTTTCAATAGCTTATAAAATGACTTTAAGAAAGTGAATAATTTTTTACATAAAAACCCTTAGAAATGCTTTGGTTAAAGTTATAAGGCTTTAGAGTTTAGATGTTAGGATTATTGCTATATTTGAAGTGATTACGAAATCACTTAAAACCGGCAAACGGAACAAAAGTCAGAAACATAAGAACAGGATAAGTTAAATTATTCCACTCCGCTCCAGTTCTAAAAACTAGAGGGAGAATACCAAATTAAGTCAAAGAAAATGTATATTTCACAAACAGTCAAAAGCACAAAAGAATAAACACACAACTCATACAGTACCAAAATGTCTTCGGAAAACGTCACAAAATAGGAGACGAACTAATGATATTTAAAGTTCTTCCAAGTGATAAATACAAATTGAAGGTAAAAGCGAGCGCTTTTGGAGCGAAGGTGCTAAATTCTAATTCGCAAAATAAGATTACAAAAATGAAATGTTTACCTAGTGATTTCTGGGAACTTAACATCCCTAAGAAGGGTTAAAGTTGGACGTTTTAATTAGAAACAAAATATCCTTTATAGACATATGTAAATAAACATTTAACCAGTTAGTTTTTTTTCATTTTTTTAAAAGAAAAATACCATGATTATTATTTATTAATTCTTATTTTAACACAGATATTGGTACAAGGAAGCACCAAACACATATGCGCCACACAGATCTCATTTGATATGTGTGAGAGCTGTGATACTGCCCGGGTGCCCAAACCGAAGTGGGTGGTTTTCTTAAGGGGCCACATCTCGAGCCTTTGACCTGAAGGTCTGATCCACAAAGGCAGTGGAGCATCATAAGGAGATGCAGTCCCATGATATCCAATGACCAATAATTACTTCATACACCATTTGTTCCCGCAGGATACTGGAGCCATTGGTTTGGAATGAGAGTTTCTCAACTCCTCTAGGTGAACTTTCCATTTCCACCAACCCGGTTATAGCGCCTGACATTCACTCTTCGTCCTCTCAATTTCGTAAACAACGCTGATGGTGCAAGAAGGTAGTTAGTAGGACTTTCCTGGTAGAGGCTATACACGCGTGGCCATGTGAGAGCATTTTGAGAGGGAGAGCGGACTCTCCTCCGCTCTCGGCCGTACCAGGGCATTTGGGGTCTCTTCTGGTGTCTTCAAGGTTTCATAAAGCATGATCCTTATACCTCACTCCCGTCATTCTTTTCAGTACTATTTACTTATTAGTTATCAATTTTATTAGTAATATATTGTACTGAATGAGAACTAATTTATCGTTTAATACAAAATTACAAAGTGTATTCGTAAAATATGAAAATCATTACATTAAATGACACTATTTGTACATCTTTCTTCTTTTGTCCTTTACATACTTCATAATACTTTCAATTCTGTTGTTTTTCCAATTGCTCTCTATTTCCCTTCCCATTCTCTTCAATTCAATATTCTCAATCATCTGCTGGCAATTATTCCACTTGTGATTAGTGTTACATACTACTTATATTTGTCATCATATATATATATATATATATATATATATATATATATATATATATATATATATATATTCTTACAAGTTGGTTACATTTTCCTTATGTATATATTGTCGTATTATTATTATTATTACTGTGTTTTCTTCTCTTTTTCCCTCACTAATCAGTTCAATGGTGATTAGAGATCTGACATTGAGATCTGCATCGAGTTTTGGCAGTTTTCATTTAATTCGACTATTATATGATGAGTATATATTTTATTTAGTTGAGCACAAAGTCGCTGCACATTTAGGCATGACACCAGTCGCTGTTATGGGTGAAATGGGTAGAGTAAGTATTATTATTATTATTATTATTATTATTATTATTATTACTATATGAAAATTATTAATCATCAAAATTCAATAGTCCAGTAGGTAACGTGTTTGGTATATTTGCTGCAAAAATATCCTCATTTCTAGTCTCAATGCAAATATCAATACTAACGAGTTTTAAGTAAGACGATACTCATACATTGTGTATTCAATAAATACGTGAACTGAATTACCATGATTGTTAGTTATGTAGTCATAGGTAAATAAATCTGTTTTGTAAGCAAATCAATCATTTCATTAAAAAACATGGAAACTTCAAGAATAATGAACTTTATCAAGTTCATGTGTTGATATAATCATTTACCATTCAGCTATCCAGACCAAACTGTAATTTGATTGATAGAATTTGTTGGCTCTAAAGACTAAGCAAAGATAACATTGTTCACTACTTAATAACCAATCTATAATAAACATCTTTGCACAATAGGAAGTCAGTCATGGCTTGAATAGTCCAATGGCGACGTTTCATATTGTAAACTTGGGTGACTAAGATTTTAATCTGTTACAAAGCGTCAATTCCTTAAAGAGTACGGGCATAACTTACAGATGAATACCAACTTACGAGAAACATAGGTCCTTGGTTTTCTACAGACTTCTTGTATATGTCTTTAAGCTGCACGCTAGTCTTACTAATTAACTATCTCTGCTTAAATAGAAAAAGTAGGATTTCCCAATTTGATAATTGGAAACTGATTCCTTTTACTATTAACTTACCTAAACGTCTGAGATTTTGATAAGATCAAATATTACTACTACTTAAGGATATAAGTAGTCGAATGCTCCTCACTATTTTGCTTTCTTGAGCCTCAGAATCATTATTGATGTTTGTAGAAATTCGTTAATGACGGTATGGGCAGTATACATTGTTGAGTTTTTAGTGTGCCTACTTACATCACCAATGTTATTTCTCAATAATGTGGTATGAGAATTTTTTATGCATACCAAGAATTAACGAATAGATTTGATTGATAACAATATAATCTCCAGTGGATACAGTTGTAAGGGCAGTTGTTAACTCCTGAAGGTTCACATCGTGAAAATATATTATTGAACTACCTGAAAAAAGAACTAGATTCTTAGCAGTAGAATAGTCTTGTCACCCTGGAAGCATGACTGAAGCTTCCAAAAACAACTTCTTGAAACTAGTCACAAGTGGTCGTTTTGGGATTAGTTTTTGATATGTTAGCTCTATATATCTCAAACTTTCTGGCAATAGGAATTTATGAGGCCAAAGTGAAGTGTATTCTTTTCAGGCTTGATTTTTTAACCTTCTCCTTAGTTTATAGTATTGTTAAATCGTTACAGATCTAAGCCATCTAAGTGAAATTTTTGTAACTTATTTATAATGATGATGTTTTCATAGTAGACAGAAAGTTTTAATTAGTTCTGGAATTCATTATTACTTCTAATGAAATTTTGTATTCTCCCGTTACTATGGACATCCAGAACTTGATTTTATTTTGTTTAAATTAAGCAATATTACTTCTATACTACCTGCATTTTGAAGTTTGACTATGATCTGTTCAAAACGAATAGCAGATAGTGGAATCCAAGATGTATGTTTCATTCAATTAATTAGGATACATCACTTGGTTATCTTAATGTAGTACTGCTCATACACTGAGAGATTCAATATTTGAAAATTGTAAACATTCTACAATGAATAAACGCAACCTAAATTGTATTGGCCTGTGTGATTCTGTTGTGGTTTAGTAGATAAAACTTCAGCATTTGAAACCCTCATGGATCAGTCACTCAAATTCAATCTAGAACCTGGTACATGTTGAATTTGCCACACCCCATTAGCGCAGCAAGATGAAGTTTTCAGGGTGAATTTCAGATTAATGCAGGTAGTAATGGTTAGGCATCGGAGATTCGGTAAAAAAAATTGATGATGAATATGGAAACTCAGGATCCAAGAAAAGACAAAGAGTAATTGGGCTTGTGCCATTGCGAACGATTTTGAGCCATGTTACCTACCTCTACTCGTTGGTTACGATAACCAGGTGGAGCTCATCCAAAATATCTGCATCTATATGACTCCGGCCGATTGTTACAGACTTCATGGACTGATGTCATGTCTTGCTTTGATCACTCCTAAATTTCTTCCGACTTACTCGTACACTGGACAGCATCACGTGTTGAGGTAATCGGGGGATGGTTCTATGTGATACGTGTTCCAAGCATCTCAGTCGATAACGACTCACTACCTGGTCAATGGATTTGCCACACTCACCTAGTACTTTGGATCTAAAGTGAAGGTTACTAACTCTGAGCTTTGTCATTCAACTTTTCCAACTACCAATCGCGGTCATCACACGCAGTTCAACCACATAATCTCTGCCTATCAATATGTTACTGACTAAGTAAATTGATATCATGTCTTGGTTTATTCACCCCTAGTTTTCTTTCAACTCCTTACTTTACCCAACATTTTATCATAAAGTTCTGGAGTTTTCATGTTTTACATTTCTGCTCATTAGTCTCTAACTGATGAAGATCCTTAATATGTTAAACCTAAGTCAAAATAACTGCTTTTTTATCTTTTAAATGTTATTACCCTACAGGATATTACTCAACAACATTGTACTCAAAATCGATTACATTTGGACAATCGTAATGCTCCTGGAAAATCTTCTAAATCTATTCACAATAATAATAATAATAATACAACAATACTTGATTCTCCACAACATGATAATTCGAATTATTTGCCGTTTGTTAATGATGATGATAATAATAATAATGATAACAATAATAATGTAGATCATACAAATCCCATATTTCATCAACAAAAACATTCAGTTAATTTAACTAAAGACCGTGTTGTTGTTGTAGGCAATGATGATTGTAATCCGGACACTAACACTGATAATGTTATTAGTCGCGAGAAAAATAGACGGGAACAACAACAATTAGACAGTGATAGTGTCATTGTTGACGAAGATGTCATGGATCATCATCATGATGATGATGAGGAAGAAGTGGATGATTTCGATGAAGAAGTTGATGAGTACTTAGACGATGAAGATGAAGTGGATGATTCATTAGGTGATGAAAATGCCATGTTAAAAGAAGCACATGCTTCAGCACAAGCTTATTGTCGAAGTTCTTCAATCGCTGCGACTACTGCTTCTACTGTCCTGATACCTCAATCATTAGATTCAACTGATGATATGCCCAATACTACTGGCATGAAGAAAGATACTTTAAAAATGGAAGATGAAGCAAACCATGAAAAACAGTCAAACATTCAAGATGTTATTGTCAATGATCCTCACGATAACAATAATGATATTGTTGACGACGAAGTGGTAGTAGAGAACACTGACGAGGGAACCGGTGACAATAAAAATAAATCAGAGAAGTTAACTCAAAAACATCCGAATCTACTCAATAATGATAAAATTAGTTCGTCGACACCTGTTGAATTAACTGTTCAACAATCCAATAAAGATAAAATATCAACCAGTACAACGACAACCACTGGTAGTTGTTCTCCACCGTCAATCGTAACAATGGTAAGGTAGCATATATGTATGTATATTTACGTATTAATAGTGTTGTGTACTCAGATAAATAGTTTAATTACGGATACTAGAACGAAATGGCCATCCGGTGCTTCCAGGTTTTCAACGGTGGTCTTACACTGATCAATTCGTGATCTCAATCAAAACTTTTATAAAGATTATTTAAGTACACAGAACATAATTATACGGTGAATATTCCTAACTAATTAGTTAGAATAAGTCAAAAACAATCCTTAACTATTAACGTCATGAACGTTTTACAATATTTTAATCCTAACTCATTCGTTAACTAACAGTGTCTATGTAATCAGCATTGAGCTATAGATAGACTTACAAGTCAGACATCAACATAGAGAGCCTGCCACAAATCTGCATTGACACAAGTTGTTATACCAGCTTTGTGGAAGATGAGATAGGAATGGAAGAGATCGAAATAATATAGTAGCAACGATAAAAAAGAAAAACCAAACCTTGAAAATATGGTTCGAAAAAACAAAATAGAAGGTTATACATGAGGGCGTCATTGTGACTGGTGGTGAGCCATGTTACCCGACATCTGCAACCATTGATTACGATAATCTCGTGAACCTGATTCAAGTAGTCTACACCTACCGTTCTAGCTCAGATCAAACCAGTGGTTTCACATGCACTAACGCCAAGTTTTGGTTGGTTCTCCTTCAGCCTGCGTCCGCACTAGCAAAAATCATCCGTTAAGGTAACATATGTATCAAATATATATCGTATATCTGAAACTAGACACCTTCTATACAAGGCCACAAGAACTGAATTGCAATTTTCTTATCTCCTGTTTCAACAACAATGTTAGGTCATGGAAGGAGCTGAGTTTTTAGTTAAGGTTTGGATACACTCACTTGATACTTGTTAGTAAGTCACACCAATACTCCGTTTCCCGAATCGAAGTGGATCGGGCTTCAAACCTGGAAATTAGTGACTACGAATCGAACCTCACTTCACAGGTCCTCAGATTTTTGTCATCTGCGCTTATTAGATCATTTGATTGTATTTGTAACTATTTAAGTACATATTCAGCCGAGCTGACTTGCGAATCACAATTACTGTTCCACCGATGTATCGATATGTACTCACATACACATTGTCGTGAATTGGTAAAGAATAGGGTGTGACGTATTTATTTACATGCTGTTTAAGTTCTTGGTGAAGCACGGATATTGTCTTGTTGTTCACTCATAATCATTGTGCATGTGTATATTTCGCTCATATATATGTCACATTTTGTTATTTAAACACATAAACATTCGTACAAGGAGGCACCAAACAGATATGCGCCACACTTCATCATTCGATTTGTGTGAGGGCTGGGATACTGTCTAGGTGCACAAACCGAAGCAGGTGGTTTTCTTACAGGGCCGCACCCGGAGCCTTCGATCTAAAATTCTGATCCACAAGGCAGAGAAGCAACGTCAGGAGATTCAGTCCCATGGTGGCAGGTGACCAACGATTGGTTCGTACGCCATTCGCCCATATGCATCATTGATTTGGTATGAGGGTTTTTAAACTCGTCTAGACGGACCCTCCGTGTTTACCAACCCAGTTAAAGTGCCAGACATTCGCTTTTCGTCCTCTCGATTTCGTAAACAACATCCGTGTTGCAAGAAGGCAGTGAGTAGGTCAGTGGTTATATGCACGTGGCCATGTGAGAGCATTTTGAGAGGGAGAGCGAACTCTTCCCACTCTCGGCCGTACCAGGACACATTAATTCTGATAAATACCGCCTTCTTAGTGCATTGCCTAGATTGATCATAAAGATTAATAATTGTTCTAAATAACCGATTTTCCTGTTTGCTTTTATTATTTAAATTTTTTTTAGCCTAATCCTGTACGTAAAGTTGTCCGTGTCACTACATTCTGTGATGCAAAACAACCGTCAGTAGTTGTAGAGTCGTCATTCGCTAATTCTACACCATTCACAACTACTGTAGCTACTACTACTATTACTTCTACTTCTACTACTACACGTTCAATTAATGTTAAACAATCATCATCTGGATCACCTTCAACAATATCAACACCAACAAAAACAATTAATTGTAATAGACCAATTGAAATTCATCCTTCTTCTTTTCATATCACTACTACAACTCCATCATCGACTATTAATAGTGGTAATACAACAATAGTAAATAAACTAACTGTTACTACCAATTCAACTATTCCTACTGATATAATCTATGCAAAACGACCAAAATTATCCTAATCACCATGTATACCTTCCTATTTGTTTCAATGAAAGAACCTCATTATTAATATGTGCATTACAATAATTAATTATTGCATATCAACAAAACTGGTGAAAGGCAGCAGTCATTAAGGATAATAAAGTGTATGTGTGTGTTTTTTTCACAGACTTTTTTATTCCCTCTTTTACACTTTCATAACTGTCAGCACCTATGTTTGTGCTTGTGTGTGTGTGTGTGTATTGAATAAACGTTTAGTACAATTTAATAATTTCTTGTATGCACAATTATCCCATTTCTTTTTTTTTGTATAGTGTCTGTTTATTGATTATCCAATCACCAAAGTTTGTGTTTTGATGATGAGATTCTGTACACATTTATATATTGAGAGAGGGGAATGCGCACCTAAAAGGAATGGGACAGATAATTTCCATTCTCTATGATAATAACTCCAATTGAGTATACTTTTGCACTATTCAAATATTCTTGTCAATATGACAACTACTTGCAGTATGTTCAAGTGTATGTATGTGTGTGTGTGTTTTGGTTATTGTGTTAGATTGTCATGTTGTCTGTTTTGTGTATATTAATGATTTCTGTATAATAAAATCAACAATCTTATGATCTTCCATTGTGTTGAGTTTTAAGACACAATGCATTCGTGCTACTACATTACAACTTGGTAGGATTTGATCAGTGTTTATTTCAATCGTATCAGATGTGGTGGTCGTGCCAACAGACTGTGATGACCCAATCGAGTTATTTAAAGTGATATCATGCCAGAGTGATCGGATGAGGATATCAGTAAGACTAAAACATAACTTAAGGTTTAAAGGGAGAAAGTCACAGTACTGCCTCTACAGCTTATCTAACAGTAACAAGATATAGCTTACAAATAACCTACGGTTACTACCTTCCCACAACGGAAGGAGGGGGTTAAAATTGGTCGATCCTAAGAACAGCACTCATCTCTTCCAACTAGATATTTGGGCCCTTAGCTCTATCATCACACTCCGTAGTCATCATGACCAATCCTAACTCAGTTTTCTTTTTATATCCTTCCAATGTCTAAGCCAACTTGAAGTGATAAATGCCCGAAAACCTCTCACAGCACTCAAGCTCACTATTAAAACATATACATAAACATAACGTCAATGTTACTACTACTAGTACTGAAGATCGGTTGCAACTTGAATAGCTTAGTTGTTATGTTTGAGACTGAAATTGAGTAATGCTGATCAAAACCCTACAGATTATATCATATCCCTCAAAATCACATGTTTACCTTGTCTCCTGTCAACATAAAAATGAACCACCAATTGGAACCAAACTAGGTGCAAGATAACATTTCAACTCACGACCCAGTAGGGTTAACTGGGTCTATTTATACGATTTAACTCATTCGCTTGATAAGTAACGACAAATGTTTTGCTTCCATCCTTTACCATTCAAGATTTGTATCTATGTAAAATCAAAAGCCGTATGACATCGGAATCATATTTGTGTACTAAATTGTAAGGATTTGAATCTTTCCATTTATGTTAAGGACTCACTTTGTAAGTGAATAAAGCGTTGGACGTTTGAAGCGAGAGGTGATGTTTTCTAGTTGCAGCGTAAGCATCGATACAGGTGCAGTTGCATCCAGCTGACAAGTCCCAGATAAGATGAAGTACACGTCTTGGATACCACTCCTAACCATTATCAACCTTCGTATAAGAAGTCCTTGCTCTAAAGCATTCTACTCTGTTATAGTTATTATCTCAGATTGACGTTGAAAATATCCAATACTATTTAATGAGTATTAGATATTAACACACAAACCGAAGTACCTTGAAAAGTATATATATATATATATATATATATAAGGTAAGTCTCGTTGCAAATCACGTGCGAAACCATGGTTATCATCCTCGTGACCAAACTATTATCATTATGATTGAATGATAATAAAATATTTTAAGTGAACCTTGAAATCAACTAGGTATCAATTTTTCGCAATGTTATAAGTCACCTTAAGATGTGTACATGATGTGAACAGAGGAACAAAGAAGTCTTGATGTATCTTTTTACACTAATCTGAATTGGAATAAAGAGAGTAGTGCTCTAGTTGACTTGTCTTCTCTCTCTCTTGTGTGTTTGTCAGCCAATCAGATGATAGAATAGTTTTTGTCTCTCTACTTCAAATAGTTGATCTCACTTTAAACACACACATACTAACCTCAAAAGGTCAAGCCATTCAGTCTATCACGTCAAGGTCTTAGTCTAGATTTAGACAAGTTATCCCCTGCATAGAAGTGGGTAGGCAGGTCAAGGACGTAACATGATGTCATTTCTGAATATTATTATTACTGAACAGAACTTGCCTTTTATAGAAAGTCATTCAACTGAATGTAAATAAGTATCTTTTTTCTAGATTATGTATAGTTTCGTTTACTGGATATATGCGCACTGCTGAGGAGTCCCGAAATAGAACGAAATCGCCGTCCAGTGCTTCCAGGTTTTCCATGGTGGTCTAGCTTCAATTGACTCATGATCTCAACCATTGAAATTACTACCATCTCCACAAAACCCCTTCTGAAATGAATTTATGTTACCTAGAAAGAAAATGAAAAAGTTTCAATTCAGATAATGTAACTGCACTAAAACACCTTTCGGCGAAACTATGATTTATGGACAAATCAATCAGGTTTGAGATAATAGATCTCAGATTTTTGAGCGAAATTCACTCATCTAATATAGGGTTTTGGTATTATCGTTGATGTCAGTTCGTGACGAAAACTCTAAATCTAGTTCCTAACTCTAACTATCAACTGTAAATCATAAGTCTAATTCCTCACATCTTCATTTGATCTTAGTTACCAGGTGGATACTCCTAAGGTCACTACTCTATCGTTGTTTAAAGGTCGTCCATAAATTATAGTCTCCCCTATTCACACTTCACCTTTTGGCTTGTTCATGTATAGTTTTTTATTTTATGGTATGATGTGGTCTGGTATGTCAGTGTTTAGTGTCCCTAAATTTGACTCCATTATTGGAAGGCTGTGTTCAGATATCACGTCGAGCACTGTTGTGACGTTAAGTTGTGGTTGATTTTTACCCTGTGCTAATTGTTGTGTCCTTGACTGAAAAACTAGAGAGCAGCGTATTTATCGACCGATTCAATGACACGTGAACACGTACGAACGTAATGGACGACCTAGATTTACGATTGGTCCCGATTCCCTGTCTATCCCAGCCAGTTGAGTCCAGAACACAAATCTCAGCCTCTGAGTTATGAATCATTATATTTCAGACATACTCTATTTATATACTAACCAAACATACCACATCGTACCATAAAAAATAGAAAACAACATTTTGTACAATATTCAACCAGCGGACAGATATCGACCAGTAGGAAATGTCCATTTAAAGTCCAAGGACACCATTGGACTTAACATGATAATTATTGGTCTATCCTTCTGCATCCACAACAAGCACACCACTTTAACGGCACTAAATCTAACTCCAGTTATATCGTATGAATGATTATTATTGAAATATACATATCATCAATCTTTTCATTAGTGAAAAACGGAATTAAATAAGTCAAATACGAGAATAGATGTTTGAATAGGTATATATTTTACACTCACTGATCTGGACGAACAGAAGAGAACGAATCGAAATGACTCGCAGTAAAGAAATCGTGTGAGCCAACTCAATATAGTCAAGCATGAATTGATATTTATGATCGAATAAAAATAAGTTACAGACATGTGATGAGTAAAATAAGAAATACACAGATACATTTACATAAAAACAATCAAAGGTTAATAAGCGAATAAGTGACAGAGTAAACATGTGGCTTGAAAAAAAGGAATAGATTGATCTGTTCAGAATCTAGAATAACCTTTGTAGGCTTAACATAGCAGCCGACACTATATTTTTTGGATTATAAATATTCTAGAGGTTGTTTGGAGACTTTTAGACTCAAGCGAGAAGCTGGCAAATCAAGCCGTGACCAGTGGAGCTAATCCTTGTCGGGTAGAGACAGTTATCTATTTCAGTACAATGGACGTTGGTCGCGCAATTTCCTGGATTGGTTGATGTTAGAAACGATCACCATTCGATGCTGGCTCAGTGGTCCAGTTGGTTAAGCGTTCGCGCGCGAGAACGGAGGCCCCGGGTTCGAGTCCCACTCGCGGGATCGAGGGTGCGTGCTGCTGAAGAGTCTCACGGTAGGACGAAATGGCCGTCCAGTACTTTCAAGTTTCCAATGGTGGTCTAACAGTAGTCGGTTCATGATCTCAACCAAATAAGGAATTCTTTTGATCATGTCTAGTTTGACAGTAATGGTAAAGTTCAGAACTTTTAAGTATCGCTGATAAATGTGTAACTGAATATTTTTCTGGATCAGTATATTTCATAATAATGCTCAGCTTTGGGTAAATTCGAAGTCATACAATCAACATTTTACCATTAACTCAATGAGACAGAGTTCTAATAATCAGGTTTTTTTTATAATGTACAGTTATCATACAAAATGTGACATCATTCTATGAAGTCATTAATCGCTTATTGAAGTCATATTGGTAGGTACGCACTACGTTGTCGAGATCTGTATGATTATCGTGGCCACTAGTCAATGACATGACTAATAATCGGTCACGATCCACATTCATCCAATTTTAGTGTTCTCATTCAATTAAATCGTTCTAGATCTACATTCACCACACTGGTAATTCTAGACGTTAGGTGAAACCGGTTCGCCAATTTCTTCAATAAAAGAACGTTCTATTCCTCTTGAGCACCAACGGGATATTAGTTTGCCAAGGAAGTACAATGAACGATTTTATTGCATACACGATCGACTCTGTCTCTATTGTAGATACTCATCCGAAAACTGATCTATCACTGGTCAACACAAATCAAGTCAGAAGCACGTAATTCACCTGACTAACCCGTACAGTAATCAATAATTTATTAAATAATAAGGGCATAAACAAATTAGGAAATCGGCTTGTTGCGTCAGTACAAGTTGTGAATTGCAATTCGAACTACTGACTGTTATTTAGTAGTTTGTGTGTAAATTACAAAAGCAGGTGAGAAACAGCAGATGGTAGAACAAAAACACAGATAACTTAAATAATGGACCAACAAATCCTAAACAAATTCAGCTTTCATCGATACCACAGTGCCACATTAGAATCAAGCCTCTCTATTCGTTTTTTACATCAACCCTGCTCTGATGGAAAAGCATAGTGTGGAAGATGGTTGTGATGTTCTACCCAGATTGATTCATAAAGACTACTGGAAAGACCTATGTAGACCCTTCTGCAATGGACTCCATGTTTTCAAGGCTGACAAGCCCACCGCTTGAATGGGATTTCGCTGGGAACTGCGGTCCCGAAGGTCTTTGCATATGTATAGATATTGTATCAACAAGAGTAAGTGAAGAATTTTTTAAATATTTCCTTGCCACAGTCTACATGCAAACTAGTTAACGCACGGACTTTCATTCGAGTTTTTCTTGGTATACAGACAGATATACCTAACTTGTGAGCAAATATATGTTACATGCGTACCGGTAACACATAGATTTACTTCATGCATTCCATACTATACATAAAGGTAAACTCACCCCCTTG